ACTGCACTGTGGCTAGTAACACTGCACGGAGGCTAGTAACAATGCACTAAGGCTAGTACCACTGCACTGTGGCTAGTAACACTGCACGGAGGCTAGTAACAATGCACAAAGGCTAGTACTACTGCACTGTGGCTAGTAACAATGCACTAAGGCTAGTACCACTGCACTGTGGCTAGTAACACTGCACGGAGGCTAGTAACAATGCACTAAGGCTAGTACCACTGCACTGTGGCTAGTAACACTGCACGGAGGCTAGTTACAATGCACAAAGGCTAGTACTACTGCACTGTGGCTACTAACACTGCATGGAGGCTAGCAACAATGCACTAAGGCTAGTATCACTGCATTGTGGCTACTAACACTGCATGGAGGCTAGTAACAATGCCCTCAGGCTAGTATCACTGCATTGTGGCTAGTAAAACTGCATGGAGGCTAGTAATGCCTTAAGACTAGTAACACTACATTGTGGCTAGTAATACTGCCTTTAGGCTATTTACACCTCATTGAGGCTAATAACACTGCATTGATGTAAGTAACAATGCACTGAGGCTAGTAATATTCATTGAGGCTAGTAATGATGCATTGAGGTGAGAAACACACACCATGCCGACAACCAATCTATTATTATCTGTATATGATGTAAACATGTAAAAAACACACAGCTGAATTTGATAAAAGCTGAAATATCTAAACTTTCAATAGATTTTAATGTTGACAAACAAACACCTCACAATCTGCACAGAATGAGTAACATGAAGTAAAACTACTTTCCATTATTTAGGAGGTCCACCAAAATACAATAAGCGCCTTCTCAGTTTAAAACAATGGAATCCACTGAGGTTTGAAGTCTTCAGCAACCCATACTTGCCATAAAAGGTGACTATGGTTGTCGTAAGAGGCGACTAACGGGATTGGGTGGTCAGGTTCGCTGTCTTGGTTGATGCATGTCATTGTATCCCAATTGCGTGGATTGATGCTCATGATGTCAATCACTGGATTGTCTGGTCCCGACTTGATTATTTACAGACTGCTGTCATATAGCTGGAATATTGCTGAGTGCGGTGTTAAGCGGGAATATTGCTGAGTGCAGTGTTAAACAACAAACCAGCCAAACCAACTGAGGTTTGAAACAATTATTGATAATTATAAAATCACAACTTTCAGAAAAACACAAATTGCCAAATTTAGATGAAGTAAATATATGAGAAATACGGACATAAGTAAAGCCTTATATGGGAAGTTGGTGTTCACACATGTTGGTTCTTGTTAGCAAACACAATCATGTACTGGTTCCCTGGCTATTGGAGACTCTCACTCTCCATTGCTTACGATAACGTAATCCTACTTGGCTGGCAAGGTGACCCAGCTTACTGCAGGGAAACAATACCTCACCTAGAAAATGTCAGCATTTAAATAATGGGTGTAAACCAAGCTCAACGCTTTCCAAACACTCCTGAATGTACTTCAATGTCAAACAGACATACGATACTATGGAGTTGCTATGAGGTATGATACCCATATATTGGGTATTACCATATTAGGTACCCCTAGATCTTTATTCATTATTTTTATGTGAGTTTTCACTTTATTATCTTAATCTAGGGACACATAGGTCTTTCATTTTTTACATAATGACAAAATCCACTTGACTTTCAAGATTAACTTATATGAGCAGCAGGGGTCACTCTAGGAATTTTCTGACATGGGCCTTTTATGTGAAAATTTCAAATAGACCAGAGGTACACCCATACAGCACAATGTTAAAATGCCCCCTTGTATTTTAAAATGTGGGCCTTTTTTCAAATTTAGGGGCTAAAAGCACAAGGCCCCACCCTAGAATTATCCCTGGAGCAGAGATTTTGTAAACAAGTCAAACTATAATATCCTGTTATATATTTGTGAAAGATCATGTAAACACACATTCAGATGTCTCCAAGAATATTTTGTCCTGACAAAATCAAAATCAATGCATCCCCTCCACAGACAGTGTCTAAAGTTGGCAGTCTGACTCAACCACTTCTGACAATCTGACACTTGATGTAAATAGTTCAAAATAACAGTTTATTCCATACCTCATAAGAGTGAATGCTTTGTTGTACTTATCAGCACAGCAACTATTTACATAGGCAAGCAAAGACATACACTTGTTCAAAAAAAGTCTTTACATATATTCTTACAGTATGTAGACAAATATCTAAACTGCTTGACAAAATTGCCTCAACTTGTATAACCCTTTTTAACCTATTGTAGCTGCCTGTTTATCGAGCCAAGTGTGTGTACCTTTTGTGACTTGACTTCAGAGAGAGCTGAGCAGCGTTCTCCATAACAAACCTATCTGAACAAACATCTCACTTCCACTAGCATGTCCAATAAGGGTGTGGAATAGTTTACACCAAATGTTGTGTGTACATGTTTAGACCAAGTGACTCAACTACTGAGCAATGGACAAGATGGCGGCACATGGAACTAGAAAAAATGTATAATAACTAAAGAAATGTGCATATCTGATCAGATGGCAACAGGTTGATCGTACATACTTCTTGAAAATAAACAGGGATGTGTTCCCTTTTCCTGACAAATCAAATAAACTATTCCTTACAATCTGTACCTGACCACTTTCAGAGATGAGGAAAACAAGTTTATCTGCACATGCTGCATGTTACAAAAAAATTGTCGCAAGTCGGGCGGTGGGGTAGCCTAGTGGTTAAAGTGTTCGTTCTTACACCGAAGACCTGGGTTCGATTCCCCACATGAGTAATGTGTGAAGCCCATTTTTTATTTTCCCGGAGTCATATAAAACAAAATGCCCAAGTTGTGTACAAACAAGCATGAACACCAGTGGACCCTTGTCATAACCTGAACGTTAAAACCTGGAGATTGTAGGTGTAGCTAGATTCAAATACCATATACCCGCCTACCAATATGTCTCAGCGGTGCGTAAACAAGTGTTAATCAAATCATGTACCTCATCGAATCAGGGGTAATTATACGCATGGCTCCCCAAGATGGCTAGTTCACAGAGATACACCATCAAAGTCAGGCTAGCTGTTATACAAATCAGGTGTCTTTACATTTCCTTGCCTTGCTTATTGTCTGGGTCCATGTCTGGTGTTTGAAAGCTGCCAGTGATTTCTGCCAGGTGAAGTGTGTAGTAATGTGGTATACTAGTAATAGCCAGGTTCATTGGCTGGAGGACTTATCAGCAATCTGTGTGCGACAAGCTCGGGATAAGATTACACAAGGTAACTGAGCTACAACCTAGGAATATTTAGTGCCCCACCTTACTGCTAAGTGGCTGCTCGTAAACCATCAACACCAAAATATCTAGTATTCAGCGTTAGAAATTGGCACTAGTCCTATGGTCCTTGCCAAACTGCCCAATGGTAAAGGTATCAGAAGGACTAGTAGAAATTTGCCCTTTTTAAGGGTTTTGCTATATGTTATCATTATAAAGACTAGTGGACGAAAACTGTTAGTTTCTAACCTTGATTCTGAATTGGTTCACTCAGAAAAGAACACTAAAAAACATGAAGGTCAATCATTAAATCATTATTTTTGCATTCGAAACATAGTCACATGCTGTTTTCAATGGTACAGGCACATCGGTGATACAGTTTTGTGGATATTCTCCCACTTTTGACAATGTATATAACAGATTAATTACCAACTTCAGCAAAAGTTAATGAAAGTTATGAGAAAACAGGACGTAGAGCTATGATCATACTGACTTACCAGTGCCTAGCCAGTTATAGCTTACAATTTCTCTGCTATATACATGTATCGTTGATATAGTGTAAGTTGACCACTGGTCTTGAGGGTCACCTGAGGGACTAGCGGACACCTAATTTATTACAGGTATGTTTTATGCATGCATGCTTTGGTCAAAATCAGTAATAATACCACAGTTAGGCATTTATCCACTTCATTGTGTCAGAAAACAAACATAAAACTATTCCCCTAGAACTATTTCATTCAGAAAATATTGTAAATATCAAGATAAAGGCATCTTACTTAATTAATTCAAGATACAAAACTGCAGTTGGTATTTAATGCCAACAATTCGGAAATTTGAGTAGGGAACATAAGAAATGTACCTTCGAGCTATGCGAGGAACACTGAAAATAATAGAATGGGTCTCGACCAATCGAAATCCGAAATTCACATGTAACATAAAACATGATATACACACACATGATAAACATGGTTTATAAAATAACAATATTATAATTTCAGAATGTATCATTTTTACTTGACTTCAAACGTGTTCAACACAATATACATGATTTCTTTTCATGAAAAAATTATCTCATTAAAATCAGATCTTAAAGCTCACTAGCGAACTAACCATGCTAACAGCATTCTAAACTTAACAGTGTTCAAAACAACATGATGCATTATCAGTATAAAAATGTAATAGACTGAAAACAAAACCTAGTTATATATGCAAGGGCTGGGAATGTTTGGTTGATTACCAACTGAAAGCTTCCACCATGGTGAATATCAGCTTAGAAATAGAGTCAACCCAAAACACACCTCCGTAAAGCAGTAAATCCCAGCCTAATCTCTCAGCATGCACGTCAATAAGAAACTGACTTGACCCTACCTGTTCTATTCACTCCAACTCAGCGCAATAACAGACCGTCAAGATTTGACCGATCAAATCCTTCAAAACACTGCAATCACTTAATTTACTCACCAAATATCCCCATACCTATAGCTCTCAAATAAGACCTGTTCATAAATCTAGAGTGGATTGTCAGAGCGAGTAATGCCGGAGTTGATGAATGCGTCCGTGACAGCACTCACCTCCAAGGAATTACAACCTTGATCACCACCACACTTACTCAAATATTTCATAACCTTTCCACACAAGATTTCCCAGAAGACCTCCACATGCACAGAATAAGGTGTACGAGGAACCACTATCCGGCCACTCAACCGTAGTCTATTATTCAGCGTCCTGGCATAGCACTCAACAAGACATAATTACATTGAATTACCTTTCAAGCTATGAACGTACAGGTATACATGACAGTGCTCATAATCTCCCCAATGTCCTTTCACCGCTCAGACTCAAAGTAAGGTAACAGTGGCACCAGGCTTCGGTTAGTACAGTTCACAATGGCTGTCATGCTTACTCCCAGAATCTCACAGTCAAAGCATGCAGTTCACGATTCAGCAAGTCGTCTAGAACGCCTACATAGCCTTGCTTGACGTAATGTCAAATCCTCCATTCAAAACCTTCGTGGCTGTAATGAGCAGAGCAAAAACTCAGAAATTCAACCCCACAAACAATGAGCTGAAAACAAAATCTGATAACATGCAATTTACATTTTCCTTGTCAACACTAAGCCATGTTAAGTAGAATTTGACTAGTGCTGCTACCCTAGGTTACTATTGAGAGACTTTAACCATGCAAATTGATCATTAACAAGCGGCCACGTAACATCTGTTTTACAAATGACATGGGCTCGATATTTCATGCGACAATCACTGCCCGAGTCAGGTGGTGTTTTTTAACAAGGAGCTACACAATGGGGCTGGCTGGGTAGATGTCGTGACAACGCCATGCACTGACACTATGTGAGATAGGCCTACCTGTTGTCAAAACAATGTAATGGCATGTGTGCTTGGTGATGCAGCCACGTTTCACTCTCCGTCCAATATGACACACGATACAAGCAGTGTATTGCTTGTGCTGCAATAACACTGGAGAGCAATCCATTATCTGTATTTAACTCATTAGAGAAACAGTAAACAATGAACCTTGCGTACAATACCATTATGTTAATTTCGGTCATATTTCTGAGAAAAAAAAATGGCTACAAAACGAAAATCAGATGACAGATTAGTATGTACCGGTACTCAATTTTTAATAAATAATCAAATGTCAGGAGTTACCATAAAATATTAACTGTATGAGCTTGTCAAATTTATTTATTGCCTGTGACGGAAAAGTAAGAAATACACAATGAACGAGTAGTGACGATGATAATCGTCTTGTTTATTGTGTATTAGCATGATTAGCTTGATCAGAAAACCCACTATGCATAATTGTCTCATACACTGTAGAGGTGAAATGATACATCTGTGAATCGGTGCATTTTGAGATTTCATGCAACAATACGATACACAATACATTCTTTTCTGTATCGATACAAGGCAATACACTTGCTAAACTAAATTACTTAATACTCATTTAATGACCTCCCCCTTTTTTGTCAGATAAATATCGCAAAATGTGTTGTAATTAGCATTTATCTACTAGAAATAGCTGCCATGAACATGTGTCTACAGCTAGCTTTTCTTTTGAACCTGCTCAGAAATATTTATAGTCAAGACATTTCCATGCGATTTGACACAAATATGCATATCGGGATACATAACACATCGTGACCTATTTATCGTGACCATGCTGTACCATTTCACCCCTAATATACTGCACAACAAGCAACAATTTACACCTTCTAAACCCAGATTTCAATTACAAGCAAGTCAGCCAGTTCCACCCAGGGAAGTGGTTAAAAGATTGATGGAGTTCTAAACAGACTACTTTTCCTCTGGGTTCTTGGACAAGTTGAGATAAATCTTACATCAGACCTTTTTAAAGTGTAATGGTATGCTGGAGATCAGGTACATTTTGACAAGATAAAACACCATCTCAATGAGCCATAAAGCTTGAACTTGATTGACTTCACACAAACATGCCGTTATACATGACACAAATACCCCCACATATACAAAGGTGTACATGATGATAGTGACCCTGAGTTGCTGATCAGATACTGTGACGGCACGTACATGGAATGCCATGACAAAACAATGCTTTACTTGTTTACATTTAATATCAACAAAATAGGCATAATTTCCAATCAATCAGAGCGTACGGCAAGGATGAAATATTATACATTATTAGATGCATCACTATCATATTCCATCCTATGCTGAGCAATAGTACCACGGCACTGGAGCTCACCTGGTGTTATAATGACATCAAAGGTTCAAAAACACAAATAAAACAGCCAATTCAGATCCTGCAGCATCAATATTTTGATTTATAGTTTTAGTAATGCATGTTAATAATAAATCATCTCTGACAGCTGTTGTTAACAATAAATCCTCTCTAAAGATCCTCTATGGCAATGAATGTTAGCAATAAATCCTCTCTGGCACTGGATGTTAACAACAGATAAACTCTGACAATGGATGTTAACACTAGATACTCTCTGAAAATGGATGTTAACAACAGATAAACTCTGACAATGGATGTTAACACTAGATACTCTCTGAAAATGGATGTTAACAACAGATAAACTCTGACAATGGATGTTAACACTAGATACTCTCTGAAAATGGATGTTAACAACAGATAAACTCTGACAATGGATGTTAACACTAGATACTCTCTGAAAATGGATGTTAACAACAGATAAACTCTGACAATGGATGTTAACACTAGATACTCTCTGAAAATGGATGTTAACAACAGATAAACTCTGACAATGGATGTTAACACTAGATACTCTCTGAAAATGGATGTTAACACTAGATACTCTCTGGCACTGGATGTTAACACTAGATACTCTCTGAAAATGGATGTTAACACTAGATACTCTCTGGCAATTGATGTTAACACTAGATACTCTCTGAAAATGGATGTTAACAACAGATAAACTCTGACAATGGATGTTAACACTAGATACTCTCTGGCACTGGATGTTAACACTAGATACTCTCTGGCACTGGATGTTAACACTAGATACTCTCTGAAAATGGATGTTAACAACAGATAAACTCTGACAATGGATGTTAACACTAGATACTCTCTGAAAATGGATGTTAACAACAGATAAACTCTGACAATGGATGTTAACACTAGATACTCTCTGAAAATGGATGTTAACAACAGATAAACTCTGACAATGGATGTTAACACTAGATACTCTCTGAAAATGGATGTTAACAACAGATAAACTCTGACAATTGATGTTAACACTAGATACTCTCTGAAAATGGATGTTAACAACAGATATACTCTGACAATGGATGTTAACACTAGATACTCTCTGACAATGGATGTTAACACTAGATACTCTCTGGCAATTGATGTTAACACTAGATACTCTCTGAAAATGGATGTTAACAACAGATAAACTCTGACAATGGATGTTAACACTAGATACTCTCTGGCACTGGATGTTAACAACAGATATACTCTGACAATGGATGTTAACACTAGATACTCTCTGAAAATGGATGTTAACAACAGATAAACTCTGACAATGGATGTTAACACTAGATACTCTCTGAAAATGGATGTTAACAACAGATAAACTCTGACAATGGATGTTAACACTAGATACTCTGTGGCAATGGATGTTAACAACAGATATACTCTGACAATGGATGTTAACACTAGATACTCTCTGACAATGGATGTTAACACTAGATACTCTCTGGCAATTGATGTTAACACTAGATACTCTCTGAAAATGGATGTTAACAACAGATAAACTCTGACAATGGATGTTAACACTAGATACTCTCTGGCACTGGATGTTAACACTAGATACTCTCTGGCACTGGATGTTAACACTAGATACTCTCTGGCAATGGATGCTAACAATTGATCCTCTCTGACATGAATGTTAACAATTGATCCTCTCTGACAATGGATGTTAACAATTGATCCTCTCTGACAATGGATGTTAATAGATCTTCTCTGACAATGAATGTTAACAATTGATCCTCTCTGACAATGGATGTTAACAATTGATCCTCTCTGACAATGGATGTTAACAATTGATCCTCTCTGGCAATTGATGTTAACAATTGATCCTCTCTGGCAATGTATGTTAATAGATCTTCTCTGACAATGGATGTTAACAATTGTTCCTCTCTGACAATGGATGTTAACAATTGATCCTTTCTGGCACTGAATGTTAACAACAGTTAAAATTATCCAAACTGTCGGAACCCCACACTACCTTTTTCCAGTCTTAATAAGGTTAGATGAAACTCATTAATCCTTGAATACCTACTATCATATTCTCTCACTAAACCAGAGTTCAATAGGTCATATGCACAAATACGCCCAGCAAAAATGACATGGCTATTTAATATCAGCTAAAGCACAAGGCATATATCACTGTGATACTTAAAAAGGACATAGTGCATAATACTGCCAGCAATATTCTTTATTATTCTTTTATAACACTGACCCCGATCTTAATCTCCATAAAGTGTTCACCATTATAGCTTGTGGCAAGATATCAAGTTAGTAGTTACCTTCACGGTTTGTAAGAAAATCTCAAAGTTAGGACCTCATTGAAATATTGTTTATAGTATCATTCCGCACATATAACGCAAGTTTCAATACTCTGTTCATGTTTTCAGGTATTAATAAACAACTTAATCAATTTCAGATAATAATTCAATATGATTGGTCAGTCTGAATATGATGAACCATAAAAACAGTGGCAACACACATGGCACATGTCCACATAATGTCGGAGATAATACCACCATTTCAGAAAACTGTGGAACTTGAACTTCTATCCAATTCATATTTATTTCGAGATAGGTTAGGTGAAATGGTGTTTAGCATCGCGTTCAAGATTATTGCACTTATATAGTGATGTGCATGCACGTGTGTGGCTGCTCGTACTAGTTCAGTTCAGACTAATGTTGAATTTTATGTGCTAGACTACTGAGATGCTGTGCCACAGTTTGACATGAATACCCTACTCAGACAGAGTGTACAGTCTCCAAGCCGACCAGTCCTTGTCTTAGCACCTTAATGCCAAGTGCCAGTCAAGGTAACAACAAGTACCATCTTCTAAAGTCTCTTGGTATGACGCGGCCTGGAATCAAACCCCCGACCTTCCTCTCTCTGGGCAGATTTTCTATCCACTTGACCATGGACACGGTCTATTAATTTCAAATATTGTAACTGTAACCAATTAAAACAAAAAACTAAAAAACAAAAGCAGCCCCTTCACAAGTTCACAGCCACTTCCCCAAAGTGTCCCCAGAAATAATGACACGCCACTATACATGTTCACATGATCCAGTTTGATACAATATTGTTTTGTACAACCTTAAACCAGATAAAGAACCCTGCCTGTTGCCAACATAATGGGAAACCTAACTACGAAAACCTAAAACATCAAAGTCTTATTCCTCTTCCTCCCTAAACATAAAAATCATATACGGTATTCCAGTCTGTGGCGTTAGCCACTATTCTGAAGCCTGAGTCTAGTCAATTTCTGTTCGGTCTAGTCATCTCAGGAAATAGATGTCCA